TACGCTCATCCACTTGTTCCCGAGCACTCAGATCAACTACAAGTTCATCAACTTTGTTTGTTCCTGGGTGCCGTTCGAAAACATATGGTGAGAGATCATTTTGTGTTGCGGCTCCAAAAATGTGGAATGCACTACCCGTTGAAGTCTGTGAATCAGCGTCAATTGAAATCTTTAAAAAGCGACTCAAAACCTTTTTATTTGCCACTTTATAGCTACTGTTTTCTTTTTTCTCTGTTTCACCTTGCTAGCTAGTGTTGTTTGTTCCAGGTTAGGAGGCACCTGATCCCAGAAAAGATCAAGATTTAACCGATGCTAACCGGAGTACATAAACACAGATCTCCGGTTGGTGGTGATGGTGTAACCCCATACTTCGGTTTGGGTGCTAGCTTGGTGTTTTTTTTTCCCGGCTTTTTTCTTTGTGTTCTTGACTTCATTATTGTCTAGCACATAGAGACCTCGTTTATTTGCACTATATAAATCCATCTATTATTATTATTATTATTATTCTTTATTAATTGTACTCTGATCAAAAACAAACTTGGTATTATACCCTATTATGCCCTTCCACCAGCTTGGGAACTAATTAAATATGCATCATTGTCTTCTGTGATTAGTTGATTGCTCACTCTTCAATGCTTGGTGGATATAATGCACTCTTCCGGATTTTTTTGCTTTGGTGGATGGATATAATGCGTAACTCTCATATTAATTTCATATTTATACACATTTTTTGGGGTATATGATCAATTCACATGATAGATTACATCCATAGGATGCTGTTATATGTTCCTAATATATAATGGACGTACAATGAACAATGTCCAGGCTTTGCTCAATTGGTAACCTTGGCATGCATGGCCATCTTTATTCGGTTCAACATGTCGTACAGGCAGCGACCAACAGGTGGCGCTATAGTGGATATCTATACACATACAACAGATGCCCCTAAGCCAAAAATCTCAAAATTCTCAAAAATGAATATAATGCGTTTTTCCGAATCACGGCAGTACAGAGATCATAGGAATGTAGTTAAATGAACAAACATGCACGCTTCTCCTTCCTAGCCCTGTGCCCTGGATGAATTACAAGTCTGCAGCGGTTAGGCCTAATTACACATTTGGCCCATAGGTCATAATGGCTCTTGCGCACGATTCAACTTGGCAAGCTATTTGTAAAAGGGTAGAAAAATGTCAACCTGACCAATATAAATAATGTGTGTTATGTTGGGCTTTATAATGGGAAGGCTACTTAAGTTAATGGTAGGAAATTCCTTTATAGATAATTTATATTGATACAAAACTCTAAATTTTAAAATGTGTATAAATATTAATATCTTATTTTATAATCTTCTAAAAATATAGGATAAACACTTCATAGTTCTTAAAACGGTTTTTCTCAAACTGGTATGACGAATGTAGATGTCTTACTATGTTGAAAGTGTTGTTCAGAGATAGTGTGCAACATGGGACACTAGCAAAATGTCTAAGACGATGGACCTGCTGAATGATTTGCTTGTACGTGGTTCAAAGGATCTGACTTTACTGTGTGATACCATCAGAGTAAATGGACATTATGGTCTTCAAACAAAGATTCAAGAAACACTATCATCATTCCTAAATGTTAAAGAAAGGAAAATTTCAACAAAATAAATCACACCTCACAGGCAAAAGCTGATGGAATTGGGGGAAAATTGACTGCAGCTGATGTGTCACAGATCGATGGATTGTATAATGAACCTAAGGAGTATACAGACAGCTGGAGTATGATCTAGAAAGCAGACTGAATATGAGAGAAGGAAATATGAAGGATTCGATTTGTTGGAAAAATTTAATCTCAGTCGGGCATTGGAGGCACTAACAGAAGGTACTGTATTATTCACTTTTATAAAAGAGAATAAATCATTATGTTGTTGGCACTTATTGTTTATTCTGTCATGAAAGCCTACGAGTTCTTCAAGTTTGTTTATCTATTAATAAACATACGTTGTGGCTGTGTTTTCCCCTTCAGTTTGAAGGCATCTACTCTATTGTACATTTCTGTTACATGTGTTTATAATACCCAGTGCGCATCATTTTGATATTATTTTTAATAATTATATATGTTTTCTTATTTATTTCATCAAAATGTTTCAACAGCTGTGACCCTAAACAACTAAACTACAGTGTAGCTTTGAAAATTGTCCAGAGGATTTTACATGTAAATCACATTTAAGAACATGATTGCAGCCCAATAAACTCCTATTTATCATTTATTATAAAATTTCAGCTGTAAATATTATAATTAGAATAATCAATTGTGAGAACATTAAGTATTCTTGTACCGGTTTTCAAAGAATTGTTCTTTAAATATATTTGTAAATGTTAAATAAATTGTTATGATTCTCATTAAGGTATTAGAGTTTCTGAGGCAAGAGATGAAAGTTTTGACGACTGGAATGAAGCATCCTGTGTTGGATTTGCTTGCAAGAAATGTATTTTCATGATTTGGAAGAGTGGAGAACATTCTATCCTGTGCGGGGAGAGATTGATAACGACAGGCAAACTACAGAGGATGTTCAAGAAAAAGAAACCAGCGACAGGAAACCCATTCTTACCAGGTATTGATATACTGCTCTAATATTAAAATTCCATTTTAATATTTTTCTGAAATATTTCTTGAAGGCTTGCATAACAAGTAAAAATGTCAAAAAATTGAACTTTTGGTACACTATTTGTAAAAAATATGGTTTTTCAGAATATAATATATGTACAATTATTGAATGACAAGTAAAACTCTTCATTTTAAAATTAAAGTTTCGGTACAGTATGTGTAAAATATGGTGTTTAGGAAAAAACAAAACACTGATTGGTTGTCTCGACGTTCCCTTGAGATTGCTCTGACCGTCATCAGGAAAATAAAGACCTTCAATTTGCTGCCAGCTTTAGTGATGCTAATGTTAATCAGCTTTAAAAGTTGATGCTTGAGTGTCATTTAGTGTAAAACAATATAAAAACTGTACAATTTTATCCTAATCATAACGTTGTTAGATACTCTATTTGATCTGTTATTAATTTATTGGTTGCAGGTCCTTCAATGGAAACCTCGGATGTCAGCAATACCGAGGCAGGGCAACCAGGTTGGTGTTTTTGTACTCGTAAAATATAGATTGTTATTGGTAATTTTAATCCACTTTTAAAAGTCAGGGCTTGAGTGTCATTTTGTATTAAAAAAATATGAAAACTGTATAATCTGATTTGGTCCTAGTCTTAACGTTTTTGGGTATTACATTTGATCTGTTAATAATGTAATGGTTACAGATACTTCAGTGGATACTGCACATGTTAGCATGAATGTAGAGACAGCGCAACCAGGTTGATGTTTCAGGCACTGTTTCACACATTATTATGAATAAATCTATTTTTCATTATTATTTTTATTTTACTAGGTATACTCTTATCTTTATTTCAGATGGAAATCTAGGTTATGTGGATGATAAGCACTTATATCTTATTGCCAAAGACATAAGACTGGAAGGCGAACAACTAGGCCACAGCCTGGGTCTCAGTTGGAGCAAGATACAACAAATATGGAGTGATAACAGACGATTGCTGGAATGCATAATAGAAATGCTTACAGAATGGAGAAAACAACAGGACTATGAGACAGATCAAGTTGAGATAATGTGCAGGGCTTTAAGATAGCAGGGACTCACCGAGCTTGCTAACAAGGTCTTTGGCTCACAAACATCAGAGGATCAATCATCCCATGTACAAGCAAGTACAGATCATCCTTGTGGAAGATTACATTGAATGAACCAGCAACATGATGGTCAGTCACTCAGTATTGATGCAGATATCATATGATGATGATGATAGAAATGATGATAGTGATACTGGATAATTATAATAAATTGTTCAGGACACATGCTTTGGAGACCAAAATGACATTTACATCATGACTATATATGGGCACATCATGACTATATATGTGCACATCATGACTACATATGGGCACATCATGACTATATATGGACACATCATGACTATATTTAGGCGTACAACAGCTTTTCGTTAAAGAAAATGTGATAATCCAGACAGAGCTTAACCTGATTTTCATAAAATAAAATCGCTACATTGTCGCTACAGTGATTTCCATGCAATGGTTGCACTGTGTAGCTGTCCCCAACAACTGACCAATCAGCATTGCCATAAACATCTGACATGCCTAAATATGGTCATGATGACATCACCTCATGACCATATATAGTCATATCATGACTATACTGTATATCAGCATAGTTTTTTTTTATAGTCTGGACAGAGCTTAAGCCTGTTTTTCATAAAATCGTTACATGCAATGGTTGTGTTGTGTAGCTGTCCCCAGCGCAATTTTGAAGGCCTCGCGACTTGACCAACCAATTAGCATTGCCAAAACGTTTATTAACGTTGATAAAGATAGCAGGAGCTATCAAAATATCCGTTGTATATATATACATATATATGTATATATATATATATATATATGTATATATATACGTATATATAAATACGTATTGTATAGTGCATTGTGTGCAGATTAGAAAGTATTTGCTTATCCCACCTACCTTTATATATAACGCCTGAAGTACTACTCATGACAAAAACAAACACTATATCTGTCAGGGATAATGTGTGTGTGTGTGTATATATTGTAACGAATCTCCTTCGTCTGTCAGGATAATTACACATATTTATGAGCGTCAGGGTTCGGCGGCAGTTGTACACCACCGACTTCACTAAACAGAAAGCAATCAAAAAATACAGACACAATTTGAATTCACGATCCATGTGAGGCAAGTCCGTTTTTATTTCCAAAATAACTATTCTAGTACTCACCCTTCATAGGGTCGTAGTATTCGTAAAGTAAATGTGCAACCTTGATGTAACAATGGAAGATCAATAACGGGAGTCTCTTCAGTACCGTACAAGTTTCTGGGCTATCTAGGAACCAACTGAAGTCTCCCCCATATAGTGGGCTTATTTGCATAACTTTCCCATTCCCACAAGGGCCAATCAGAGCGTGGCTTACAGCTGTCTAATTAATTGGGCTACCACCCCTAAGGGCTGTTCCAACAACTGGGGAGACATTTCGTTACAATATATATATATATATATATATACTGTATATATTTCAAAATTTCTTCGGTTTTATTTTCAGCTCAAAATTATTTCTCTCTTCTAGTTTTCTCTCTTGACTGTAAAGAGAAAAATGACTCTATGACTGTAAAGAGAAAAACAACTTAAGCTAATAGCTTAAGTTGTTTTTCTTACTTCATTGATTGATTGACTGGACATATTGCTCTTCAAACGAAGATTAAGGAAAAACTACGGTTATTCCCAGATTTAGGAGAAGGAACCATTTCAACAAATTTCAGAGCTCATCGACAAAAGCTGATGAAATTGGGGAAGAGTTTGACCCCAACTGATGTGAGGTACATTGATGGATCGTACAATGCACCTTGTAAGACGTACAAAGACAGTTGGAGTATGATCACTGATCTAGAAGACAGACTGGAAATCAGTGAAGGGAATATGGATGGATTTATTAATTTGTTAAAAATTCTTGAACTTCCTCTTGCATTGAAGGCACTGCAAACAGAAGATAATCACTAAAAGAGAATAGGTCATTATCCTATCTGCCGTTTATTCAAATGACAACTATATAATTCAAATTACAAGGTGAACCCAGACCCAGAGTTTGGATACAGGTAATATACCTTAATATATAAAGTCACAGTTTAGATACAAGCTACAGTAAACAAGATAAATGACATATGTATTGATATATGCCTACTTACCATGATATCTTTTCAAAATAAGATATATGAAATGATATTGACAAGGAACAATTAAGTAAGTGGGAACTAGCCTGCAAAATTAGGTGAAATAAGCTCAGTATATTTTAGGAAGCTTTTTCAATGGTGGGTGGGGGGAGGGGGAAACTTAATGGGTGCAAGCTTTTTTGAAGGGGTGTGTGTCCCCTTTGCACCTCCAAGATAGACCACTGTGATATACAGTTAGAATCTTGCATAGTTAGTTAAAATAAAAAGAAATTAACCGTTACAATAAATATAAACATAAAATCAATCAAAAATAGACTCTGAGTGAGGATGTATCTACTGCTTAAATTACTCTTTACAAGTACGGAGATCATAGGAGTGTAGTTAAATCAACGAACATGCACGCTTCTCCTTCCTATCCCTGTGCCCTGGATAAATTACAAGTCGGCAGCGGTTAGCCTAATTACACATTTGGCCCATAGGTCATAATGGCTCTTGCGCACGATTCAACTCGGCAAGCTATTTGTAAAAGGGTAGAAAAATGTCAACCTGACCAATATAAATAATGTGTGTTATGTTGGGATTTAGTGGGAAGGCTACTTAAGTTAATGGTAGGAAATTCACTTCCGGCATTCCCTTATAGATAATTTGTATTGATGCAAAACTCTAAATTTTAAAATGTGTATAAATATTAATATCTTATTTTATAATCTTCTAGAAATATAGGATGAACACTTTATGGTCACTCTTAAAATGGTTTTTCTCGAACTGGTATGACGAAAGCAGATGTCTTACTATGTTAAAAGTGTTGTTCAGAGATAATGTGCAACATGGGACACTAGCAAAAATATCTGAGACGATGGTCTGCTGAATGATTTGCTTGTACATGGTTCAAAGGATCTGACTTTACTGTGTGATACCCATCAAAGTAACTGGACATTATGGTCTTCAAACGAAGATTCAAGAAACACTGTCATCATTCCTAAATGTAAAAGAAAGGAAAATTTCAACAAAATATTTCACACCTCACAGGCAAAAGCTGATGGAACTGGGGGAGAATTGACTGCAGCTGATGTGTCAAAGATCGATGGATTGTATAATGAAGCTAAGGAGTATACAGACAGCTGGAGTATGATCTAGAAAGCACACTGAAAATTAGAGAAGGAAATATGAAGGATTTGATTTGTTGGAAATATTTAATCTCAGTCGGGCATTGGAGGCACTAACAGAAGGTACTGTATTATTCACTTTTATAAAAGAGAATAAATCATTATTATGTTGGCACTTATTGTTTATTCTGTCATGAAAGCCTACAAGTTCTTCAAGTTTGTTTATCTATTAATAAACATACTTTGTGGCTGTGTTTTCCCCTTCAGTTTGAAGGCATCTACTCTATTGTACATTTCTGTTACATGTGTTTATAATACCCAGTGTGCATCATTTTGATATTATTTTTAATAATTATATATGTTTTCTTATTTATTTCATCAAAATGTTTCAACAGCTGTGACCCTAAACAACTAAACTACAGTGTAGCTTTGAAAATTGTCCAGAGGATTTTACATGTAAATCACTTTTAAGAACATGATTACAGCCCATTAAACTCCTATTTATCATTTATTATAAAACTTCAGCTGTAAATATTATAATTGGAATAATCAATTGTGAGAACATTAAGCATTCTTGTACCGGTTTTCAAAGAATTGTTCTTTAAATATATTTATAAATGTTAAATAAATTGTTATGATTCTCATTAGGTTTTAGAGTTTCTGAGGCAAGAGATGAAAGTTTTGACCACTGGAATGAAGCATCCTGTGTTGGATGGGCTCGCAAGAAATGCATTTTCATGATTTGGAAGAGTGGAGAACATTCTATCCTGTGCGGAGAGAGATTGATAACGACAGGCAAACTACATTGGTAGAGCGAGTGACGCCGCTCTGAGCTCCGGCTCTTTAGTTTAACATTTTGCCCACTTCCTTGATGAGCTTTTACATTAAATGTGGATTCTAAATGAAGGAAAATATATTTAATATTGCTACTTTCAATGTTAGAGGATTAGGCGACAAATTCAAGAGACATCAACTAGCAACATATATAACAAATTATAAGGTGGACGTAGGCTGCCTTCAAGAAACTAAACTCACGGAGACGATTGACGAATACGTACACGAATGCCGATCCATCAATCTAGGCACTAAGGTTAAGTATTATGGATGTGGCTTCATTATTCACAAGCGATGGGCACCAAGTATTTCTAAATTTTGGAAAGTTTCAGACCGAATATCAGTTTTACAACTTAAAACGAAGGAGAACAAGTTTATTACTTTAATTAATGTCTATGCACCCACCATTAACCGGGCAGAAAAATACCCGGCCGAACGTGAACGTATGTACAAGGAATTAGATTAACTCGTAAGTAAATTTGCAAATAAGACATTTCTTCTAATATGCGGAGATTTTAATTCAAAAATTGGCAAGAAACATTTAGATGAAGAAAAATGTATCGGAAATTATTCAAAAAGATTTCGTAATGATAATGGGGATGCCCTAATTGATTTTTGTGAAAATAACAATCTATTTATCACAAATAGCGCTTTTCAACACCCTGCAAGACACATCACAACTTGGGCATATCAACGGAAAAACAAAAATGGACAATGAATTAATATTTACAACCAGATAGACTTTATTATTTGTAAAACAAGGTGCAAAAAACACTACCTTGTAACTCTAGATCATACGGAGGTACACAAGTAATAAGCGATCATAGAATCGTAATAACAACACTTACATTGACTTGGCATAACATTAAACGACAACGAAACTCAAACAATAGTAGGCAATTTGCATGTGAAAAACTGGCGGATAAAGACAAACGAAAGAAGTATGTGGACGATTTTATTAAAAACACAACAGATAACAGAATACCTGATCGACCCAATAGAGCATGGGAACATATAAGAAAAGTGATTAAAAGAGCTGCAGAAAATTCTATTGGTTTCAAACAAATAAATCAAAACAACAATAGAAAATTACGACGAAGAAATTCAAGATCTATCCATTAAACAGAAAAGCATACGGTTAAGGATTACAAACTGCAAAACAGACGACGAACGAAATATTCTTAAAAAAGAAAGAAACAAGGTACTACATGAAATCCAACACTGAACAAGTGAAAATAGAAACAATGAACTTGACGCTAAAAGTTATGACATTGACCAAGCCGTTAACGGCGCCAGAATGTTTAGAGCGGTAAAAGAACTTTATAGAAAAAAATACGAAATTCCAAAAGTCGTAGATGACAGCGGAAAATTTATTGGAAACGATCAGGAAACTGCTAGGGCCATTGGTAAACTTTTTAAAAGTAAATTCTTCAACATAAATGGTCCGATCATCGCACCATTCGAAGGACAAGGAAGGCCTCTTATAAATGAATAACAAAATCCGAAGTTTACAAAAGTTTGAAAAAACTAAACAATAATCGCTCAGCTGGAGAAGATGAATTAAAGGGTGAACTATAAAAATATGGTGCAGATGTTCTGTCGCCTATTATAGTAAACATTTTCAATAATATTTTCATAATGCATGAACCTATTGATATAAATAAAGGTATCCTCGTCGCACTACAAAAACCTGGTAAGGAAAAGGGTCTGATGAAAAATCTCAGACCAGTCATATTACTCAACACCATCAGAAAATGCATGTCACTGATTGTGCTAGAAAGAATCCGCCACAAAATTGACAGCTACCTACCAACAAGTCAAAGTGGATTCCGACCTGGACGCAGCACAAGCGACGTAGTTCTGACTTATAAATGAATGATTGCCAAAGCATCAAGATACAATCTTGAATTCCACATCACTGGGATTGATATGACGAGTGCATTCGATACCATTAACAGGGACACACTTTTACAAGTACTGAATGGGATTATTAATGAAGACGAACTTCGGATAATAAGATTTTTGCTAAGCCATAAACAGGGCTCAACTTAAACTTACGAAGGACTTTAGACAACGTATATTTTGACACGAATACTGGAGTACCACAAGGGGACAGTCTTAGCCCAGTGCTCTTCACGGTGTACCTTGAACACGGCTTAAGGGGAATAAGGGAGAGAAGTAATGATCATATTCCAAATGAGATCTCGTATGCGGATGATGTCGATTTCATCAGCCTAAACGAGAAGGCTAATGTAGACCTTATTGGAGCTCACCTAATTTCGTTTAATCTTAAACAAAGATAAAACAGAATACATAGTAATTAAACGAGAAGAACTGGTCAAAGAGAACTGGAGACTAACAAAAAAGTTAGGGTCCCTTCTTGGAGACAAAGAAGATATCACCAGAAGGAAACAACTTGCTGTGAACACAATGAACAAAAAGACAGCACTCTGGAACAGAAAAGAAAAAATTAGATTAAAAACAAGACCGAGGTTGTACAACTCACTAGTGAAACCGGTGCTTTTATACAATAGTAATACATGGGCCTTAACGAAAGATGATGAACTAAAGCTAAACACTTTCCATCGTAAGCAACTCCGAAAGATTATTGGACTGAAATATCCACATAGAATATCAAATAAACACCTTTATGATAGATGTACGGCGAGACCCATGTCACTAGAAATTTTAGAATCGAGATGGCGATTATTTGGCCACATCCTGAGACAAAACACAAACAATCCTACAAACCTGGCAATCGACTTCTACTTCACCGAGACCAATGACAGAAAATTCAGGGGACGTCCAAGGACTACAATAATCACAACTCTCCATAACGACCTATAGTAAGATCCAGTCTACCAATACTCAATATCCTGCTCAACTAAAAATTTAAAATGATATGGAGAAATTAAAATTACTGGCACAAAACAGACACATTTGGAAAGGGCTCATCGAGGAACTAAGTAAAGCGGCCGAAGCGGAACTGAAATCGGACTTTTCGGCGATACGGCGATGATGAGGATGATGATGAGGCAAACTACAGAGGATGTTCAAGAAAAAGAAACCAGTGACAGAAAACCCATTCTTACCAGGTATTGATATACTGCTCTAATATTAAAATTCCATTTTAATATTTTTCTGAAATATTTCTTGAAGGTTTGCATAACAAGTAAAAATTTAAAAAAATTGAACTTTTGGTACACTATTTGTAAAAAAATATGGTTTTTCAGAATATAATATATGTACAATTATTGAATGACAAGTAAAACTCTTCATTTTAAAATTAAAGTTTCAGTACAGTATGTGTAAAATATGGTGTTTAGGAAAAAACAAAACACTTGATTGGTTGTCTCGACGTTCCCTTGAGATTGCTCTGACCGTCATCAGGAAAATAAAGACCTTCAATTTGCTGCCAGCTTTAGTGATGTTAATGTTAATCAGCTTTAAAAGTTGATGCTTGAGTGTCATTTAGTGTAAAACAATATAAAAACTGTACAATTTTATCCTAATCATAACGTTGTTAGATACTCTATTTGATCTGTTATTAATTTATTGGTTACAGGTCCTTCAATGGAAACCTCGGATGTCAGCAATACCGAGGCAGGGCAACCAGGTTGGTGTTTTTGTACTCGTAAAATATAGATTGTTATTGGTAATTTTAATCCACTTTTAAAAGTCAGGGCTTGAGTGTCATTTTGTATTTAAAAAATATGAAAAATGTATAATCTTGATTTGGTCCTATCAATGACCTATCTTAAAGGGAAATGCAAAATGACCAACGTTTTTGGGTATTACATTTGATCTGTTAATAATGTAATGGTTTACAGATCCTTCAGTGGATACTGCACATGTCAGCATAAATATAGAGACAGCACAACCAGGCTGATGTTACAGGCACTGTTTCACACATTATTATGAATAAATCTATTTTTCATTATTATTTTTATTTTACTAGGTATACTCTTATCTTTATTTCAGATAGAAATCTAGGTTATGTGGATGATAAGCACTTATATCTTATTGCCAAAGACATGAGACTGGAAGGCGAACAACTAGGCCGCAGCCTGGGTCTCAGTTGGAGCAAGATACAACAAATATGGAGTGATAACAGACGATTGCTGGAATGCATAATGGAAATGCTGACAGAATGGAGAAAACAACAGGACTATGAGACAAATCAAGTTGAGATAATGTGCATTGCTTTAAAAGAGCAGGCACTCACCGAGCTTGCTAACAAGGTCTTTGGCTCACAAACATCAGAGGATCAATCATCCCATGTACAAGCAAGTACAGATCATCCTTGTGGAAGATTACATTGAATGAACCAGCAACATGATGGTCAGTCACTCACTATTGATGCAGATATCATATGATGATGATAAAAATGATGATAGTGATACTGGATAATTATAATAAATTGTTTTAATTCTTGTTTTCGTTAAATCAGTAATAACTTGAGCAGTATCTCTCCATAGTGCATTTCACTGTTCTGTGCTTGAATACTGAATATGCAGGCCATGTTTGATGGGCGATTCAGTTATTTTCTGTCCTGCGGTACCTGAATACTGAATAATTCACAGGCCGTGCACGATGGGGCATTTCATTAACTCAATATTTTCTACCATTTTACTAAAGGTCATGATAATTCTTTGAATATTTTTTGTGTAATCTTGCTAATAGATAGCGGTGAATACATGATAACATTAGATCCTTTGGCGGAGGTAAAAACAATAGTAATACCTCTTATTAGGTTTACAGTACTAATATTAGATATTAACAGCTTTCATTCTGTCTCAGGTTGCTTGGCTGATACTGACCTTAAGTTCATTGCTGGAAGACTTGACAATGACTGGAAACATTTAAGCACCTACCTTCAAATGAAGAGCTATGAATAAATCAAATTGCAAGAATATTTTCAGGACACATGCTTTGGAGACCAAAATGACATTACATCATGACTATATATGGGCACATCATGACTATATATGGGCTCATCATGACTATATAATATGGGCACATCATGACTATATGGACACATCATGACTATATATAGGCACATCATGACCATATATAGGCACATGACTATATATGGGCACATCATGACTATATATGGGCACATTATGACTACATATGGGCACATCATGACTATATATGGGCTCATCATGACTATATATGGGCACTTCATGACTATATATAGGTACATCATGACTATATATGGCCGTCCAACAGCTTTTCATTAAAGAAAATGTGATAATCTGGACAGAGCTTAAGCCTGATTTTCATAAAATATATATCGCTATATTGTCGCTACAGTGATTTCCATGCAATGGTTGTACTGTGTAGCTGTCTCCAACAACTGACCAATCAGCATTGCCAAAAACATCTGACATTCCTAAATATGGTCATGATGACATCACATGACCATATATAGTGATATCATGACTATACTGTATATCAGCACGCTGTACAATAGTTTCTTTCTCAAAGAATATTTGACAGTCTGGACAGAGCTTAAGCCTGTTTTTCATAAAATCGCTACATTGTCGCTACATGCAATGGTTGTGCTGTGTAGCTGTCCCCAGCGCAATTTCGAAGGGCTCGCGACTTGACCGACCAATCAGCATTGCCAAAACGTTTATTAATGTTGATAAAGATAGCAGGAGCTATCGAAATATCCGTTGTGTACATATAGTAGTGGGCCAGCTAAATGCAAAACAGCAATGGTACTATCTCAATAGAGTGCTCAACAAAACAAATGTTAAGGAGCTATAATAAGTTAAATCAATCTGCATACAACATTGTTTCGTCCTTAAGGACTCATCAGTGCAGCTCAGATAAATTTGAGATTGAACCTTAGATACAATACCTTATATATATATATATATATACGTATTGTATAGTGCATTGTGTGCAGATTAGAAAGTATTTGCTTATCCCACCTACCTTTACATATAACGCCTGAAGTACTACTCACGACAAAAACAAACACTATATCCCTGTCAGGGATAATGTGTGTGTGTATATATTTCAAAATTTCTTCGGTTTAATTTCAGCTCAAAATTATTTCTCTCTTCTAGTTTTTATTTTAGCTTAAGTTGTTTTTCTTACTTGATTGATTGATTGACTGCGCCACATTCATGTGTGCTGCCACTGTTGTAAAAATGATGTAAAATAAATATTATTATGCTCTTTAAAGGTTTAGATTGGAATAGCTGAGTACTAATACCTTTGTAAAGTTTTGAATTCTGGTAAATAGTTTCTGATTGGTTAGTTCCCCATTCTTACTAGCCAATCAAGTGATGTAGTCAAATTAGGCAAGTTAGTTTTGAATGAGGGGATTTTCTTTGAAATGCTTTGTTTGTTTAAGATATTTTTTTTTTGTGAAATATATATTTTAAAATTTGCATTCATTTATCCAACTTGTTTTTGGATAGGTTTGTTTCAAATAATAGGAGATTCTAAACTTCAGTTTGTATTGTTGTTCTTTTCTGTGCCTTTTAGTTGTTTAATTTACAGATCAAACTTGACAATTTTTGAAGTGTAATGACACAATTTTTTGAATTCAAGTTTGTAGATATATAGGTACCTTTTACAAGAAAAAGGGCATTTATTCAGAAACTATTTTCAAAATGGTTATTATGCATGACTGTATATTGTAAAGGAAATGGTACAGCTTATTAGAATAGAGGAAGGGTGTTTGCCTAATCAGTGGAAGTCCCTAGATGGGCTCTGGTTAGATAATTAGATCAGTGTCATGTAATGATCATATGCTAGACACAGAAGCCAATAAAAGAAGTCGAACTATGAGAAGTTATGACTTGATCTCCCTGTGTTTAAAGTAGACGACCTATTGTATAACTTACTTTGGAATATTATATATAGGGTTTTTTTTCTAAATTATAGTAATTTATCAATTTAAGTTAAGTAAACTAGATTGTGTAAGTGATTTTAAATTTCTACTTTCGGCTCAAACTTCAGGAAGTCCCGTTTTAATTTTATGTGAACAAAATAATTGGCAAAATTAGTTATAGGATATACTGTATATATTTTTATATGGTAATTTTGATGAATTGTGTATGTTTTGATATTTAGAATTTATATTTTTCGACAGCAAATACTAACACCTTACTTTTAATAGCTATTGTTTAGTCCTTGTGTAATTTTAAAGTATACAGCAATCATTTTTTAATGTATTCATATGTTTTTATATTGTAATGCAATGAAATTCAGGCATGCCCTGTTGATTGTAAATTATATGCCAAAATAATGAACAATTAGAGACCAGAGGGCATTGGAGGACACATGGTAATGAGACTCTCCACCCCTCACACTGTATGAACATTGTAGCAGTGGTAGTTTTAAGATTCATATAGCACTGCAATTTGTCTGACAGGCAGTCTTCAATGTTTTTCAAATACAAAAGAGTGAACAGTAATGCTCTGGTCAGGGGGAAATGCATCCTGATGAAAACATGGGTAATTTTTAAAATTTGTAAATACATGCTGCCACCAAAATACTGTAAAAAGAACAAAACATATGCATAATTTGTATACTGTATTTTAATATACAAACCAGGTTGGTAGAGCTGGTAGAATCCTACTCCAACTTAAGTACAGTTAAGATATACAGTGGCAGATTGAAGGAGGGGCCTAGCTGGCCCAAAGCCCCCCTTAAATATTTTAAAAATTTAAAGAAAATGGAGAAATAAGGAAAATTATATTTTAAGTCGGAGAGTGCCATTTTCGATCATCGAAAGGCACCACAATCATAGATTTTCTCACGTTAAGCCCCGGCCAGCCGTAGTGGGACTGGTGTGTACAGACCCAAAACCTGTGAAAGCCCCTTCCTGGGCCCCTTTTATTTCAAATTTCTGGATCTGCCACTAATATATGTTTTGTTTTTATGTATATATCTTTTTGTTCTGTTGTTCATTCTTAAAGATCTTGCTTGCTTTGAATACCCCTTTTCCATTTATCATTGTGTATTGTTACTTAATTATTTTGAATTTGAATATCAAAATGTATTC